GGGGGGGGGGAGGAGGAAATCTGAAGGGACCAGATTCCCACTGGCCCCTGGTCCTGAGCACTCCTACCCCGCCTGGTACATCATGGAGATGTGCCCCGGGGGTGCCAGAGACCCTCTCCCATGCCCCAGGGGCCAGACCTTTCCTGTGGGGCGTGAGAAGGGATAGCATAGCGCCTGCAGGAGGCTTGGCTGTATGACCACGACCTGGGCCTTAGCGGGAGGGAAGCTCAGGGCCATCTTGTGGGGTTTATAGTCTTTGATGAGGGTTTTCTCCAAGTTCATCTAGGCTCCATTCAAAACAAGTAGATGGTCTGAGACACAGTGGGGCCAAAGGGGTCAGGAAGGAAGGAAGGGAGAGAGACCAGAGCTAGGTGAGGGGTTGTAGAGGATAGGAGGAGGGCAGTACTGGGGTGGGTACAAAAGTCTTTGGGGAAATCTTCAAATGAGGGATGGGGAAGCCGTTTGAGTGACAGACATGATACAGGGTGGGTCTTAGCTTCTCCTCTTTTGGAAACCAAACTGGAGCCGGGACCATCCTGGGAACACAGGTGTCCCTGTCTCCCACCCCCAAGTCCCTTGCCCCCTGTCTGCCAGGTCTCCTCAGCTCGCAGGCCACTTCCTGACACTGTGGATGCCCATGGCTCATCTTGTGCCAGCTGGCTGTGCCCCTTGCCGCTGGCACCAGCTAAGTCTGCCTTGCTGACCTGTCCCCAGGGCCTGGACCTATACCTGTGTGCCCTGCAGCCGGCATCGCTGGGCATGGCCCCACAAGGTCTCAGAAGCGACACCTTGAGCACAAGTAAGCCAGGGCAGAGGGCTGCACCGTGAAGGAGGCAGCGGGTGGGAGAGGACTCTTAGATTTCAGGACAGGAAAGGGAGGGGACCCAGTGTCACTGGTGAGGACGGAGCCTCAGGCACGCTTTACTTCCATATTCTGGCCTGGAGTCCTGGCCTGGGGCGGGGCGGGGCTTTCAGGGCGACACCTGAGCCAGAGGAGGTGGATGGGCAGTGGCTTTCTCAGGCATGAGCATGGGACCTGGAGTAGGGGTAGTCCGAGTCCTGGGACTGAGGATGGCGCCCTGTGCCTAGAATGTTTGAGCTAAAGGGGTCTTCATTATGAGATAGGAGCACTGACCGGGAGCCAGAGAGCTGAGGATAGAGTCCTGGTTCTGCCCTTCCCGGCTCTGTGACCTTGGGCACATCACCGAGGCCAGTTTCTTCTTCCATGGGAGTAGGATGTCACTATACCTATGTTCTAGATTTGCTGCACTGTAACGCCCCATTTCATCACACAACTGTAACCTCCTGGAGGGCAGACTGTGCTGCCCGGTCCCTTATTTCCCCAGCACAGAGTGAAACGACAGGTCAGCGAAGTTGGCTGAGCGAATAAATGAGGATCCAAGCAGACATCTACTTTGTGACCTTTTTTCTTTTCGGTATTTCACCTTATATGTCTCCCACCTTGTCTCCCACCTCCCTGGCTGTTGTGCCTCAGTCTCCCTTCCTCGCTCTTCTCTGCCTACCTCCTAAATATCCCCATGCTCCATAACTCAGTCCAAAGCCTTCTTCTGTCCCCTCCCCCACCCTTTAGTCTCACCTCTTCTCTTCTTTCCCGCCTCTCCTGTTCACTTTACGGAGGGTAGTAGTGCTGTTTGACAGCTACTTCTTTCCTGCAAGAAAGGAAGTGATCCGTACTTGTGCTGTTTACGACCGTACCTACTGAGCCTTTTGAACGTGGCTCGTGTGAATGAAGAACCGAATTCTTATTGTACTCATTTTAAGTAGTTGAAACGTCATCACATGAGTCAAGTGGCTACCGTTTTGGACACAGCAGATCAAGGGTCGTCCTTATGCGGTCTCCTCGGGGTCCCTGGCACCCAGATTTATGTCTTCAGCTTGGACCTCTCTTTTATAAACTCCAAACCAAACAGATAAACAAACAACCAACCAAATTCCAAACCAATTCATCCAACTACCTACTTGGCTTCTCCACTTGGATGTCTAATAAGGTTCTTTTTTGTTTTTAATGTTTATTCATTTTTGAGAGACAGAGACAGAAGGTTGGGGGGGGGGGGGACAGAGAGAGAGGAGACACAGAATCCCAAGCAGGCTCCAGGCTCTGAGCTGTCAGCACAGAGCCCGACACGGAGCTCAAACGCATGAACTGAGATCATGACCCCAGCCAAAGTCAGACGCTTAACCGACTGAGCCACACAAGCGCCCCTCTAGTAGGCTTCCTGATCATCTTCTCTCCCTAAAATGGTTGAGCACCACAGACATACTAGGTCCTTTTGTTGGCAAGTCCAAGTGCAGACCAGGAAGGCCCAGGGAGGGGAAATGCCTGCCCAAGTCATCCAACAGGCTTGCAAGGCTATGGCGATTTCCCAGCCTGAGCAGGGCAGGTTAGATGGGGAGCAGAGCTTTCCCCCAGGCAGTGGGGCCCTGACCACTGTCTTCCTTTTCTCCCCCGCTCAGCGCTCCAGCCCCCAGGGCTGCATGCAGACTCCACTGATGGCGAGAAACTCACGGCCAAGCACTCTGCGAGCAGGGACCAGAGGGGAAGCCAATGGGAAAGAGCTGGAGAGGGGGCCCGCTGCCCATCCTTCTGTCCCCACAGCAGCTCTTGCCCACCCCCCTGGCAGAACAGAAGGAGCCCCATTCCCTTAGCTTTCTGCTCCTGTCTGTCCTGCCTGCTGCCCACTCCCATCTCCAAAGAGCTCCCATTCTGCCTTCACCCCTTCTGTCCTGCATATCCACTTCTCCTGCCTCCTCCTTACCTGCTTACCTATGGGGCCCTACCTTCTGTCCGATGCCCCTGCCTCTTCATGCAGCCCCCAGATCCCTCCCACCCCATCATGGCTATGCCCAGCTTGCTGATGAGTGTCAATGAGCCTGGGCCCCCCACGGCCCAGAGGGAGACCCTGTATCCTTACCCAGGGGCCTCCCAAGCCTCTGGCCAGATCCAGCCTTTCCAGGCCTGGAATCCAGGCCCTGGAACTGCCAGGACCTACTCCTCAGGGCAAAAGAGTGCTGGCAGGGCGGCTCCAGCGAGGCGGACCCCACTGGGCTCCCGGACAGGCACCGCAGCGCTGCCTTACCCACTGAAGAAAGAGAATGGCAAAATCCTGTACGAGTGCAATGTGTGCGGCAAGAACTTCGGGCAGCTCTCCAACCTCAAGGTATCTGCGTCTTGGGCTCCGCTGCTCCCCTCGGCATCCTTCAATGACCCCGTGCTATCCTGCTTCCAGAATCAAGGGCCTTAAAGCCAGAGCAACTCCTGGGCAGCCTCTAGGCTGTGACCTGGAATGCTTCCTTTGGCCTCTCGGTGTCATGTTTGTGGAGAGGAGACGACAAAATGGCCGCCAAAAGTCCTCTCCACTCTAAGAGATAGTCTGTGAGAGCGTCCACTGCACTCAAACATGGGGAAACTGAGGGAAAGTTTTGCCCAAAGTTACTTCGATTTAATGGTGAAGTTAGGCCTTGATATTAGCCTCTCAACATCTAGTGCAAAGCCCTTTCTGGATCCCCAGTTAAGCCTCTTCTTGTTTATTTGTTTGAAGGTCTGGTGGGGGCATAAATTTTAGTGAGCCCAGGCCACCCACCTGACAACCAGCTTTTTTCACGTGGGACCCCATGAAGCAGCACAGTGCCGTTGGGACCATCATCCACATCGCCCAGAGGGGACCCCATGGGCACACCTCTGTGTGTCAGCAGAGATGGGGATCTACGCACATGTTGGGGGCACTGAAGTTGAGGAAATATTATGGTTGTTGAGGAGGGACGCTTCTGGGTCCCCAGGGCATGGGTGCTTAAATTTTAATGAGCCTCAAACCACCCAGAGAGGTAGGAAACATGCAGACTCCTAGGTTCCAACCCCAGGGATCTTGAGTCAGCTGGCCTGGGGCAAGGCCTGAAAATCTGCATTTTTAAAAAAAATTTATTTTGTGAGAGAGAGAACACAAGGGAGAGAGAGCACGAGTGGGGAAGGGGCAGAGAGAGAGCCAGAGAGAGAATCCCAAGCAGGATCCGCACTGTCAGCACAGAGCCTGACACGGGACTCGATCTCACGACCCGGGAGATCATGACCTGAGCCAAGATCAAGAGTCAGAGGCTTAACCAAATGAGCCACCTGGGCACCTCATTATTTATTTGTTTGTTTGTTTGTTTGTTTGTTTGTTTGTTAGTTAATGAGAACGTGCATCTTTAACATGCTCCCAGATGGTGCTGACGCTGCTGGTCTGTGGACCACACTTTGAGTCGCACCGCCTTACCTAGCCTTCTGACCACTGTCATGTCCCCTCCTGCAGGGCAGCAGAAAGAGTGAGGGTATCCTGGGGAAAGGCAAGAGGGGCCCTGGGGGCAGTGATAGAGAAGCAAGGGGATTGAGAAGCCTCAGGGCTAAATAGGGGTCCCGTGGGGATGTGGGGAGAGATTGGGACAGGATCCCAGACCCTGCCGGAGGGGTCTGGGCAGTTGGCAACATTTGTCCCACACCTGGCTCAGGTCCATCTGCGTGTGCACAGCGGGGAGCGCCCATTCCAGTGTGCCCTGTGCCAGAAGCGCTTCACTCAGCTCGCCCACCTGCAGAAGCACCAGTTGGTGCATACCGGGGAGCGGCCCCACGAGTGCCTGGTGAGACCCTACTTCCCCTCCCCTGTACTCCTGGGGGCTGGCGAGTAGTTCCAGGGCCCCGGAGGGATGGCACCTGTAGCCTCTATTCCCCAATCCTCCCGAGCAGGTGGAGACAGGACTGGAGGCAAGGGTGGAGGTGGGGAGGGAGGTGGAGGGAGGTGAAAATGACCCGAGTCAGCCTGGAAGGGGCAGAATGTGATACGGGAGCTCACTCCCTGGGCCTGGCGTGAGGAATAGAGATGAAGGCCTATGGGAGGAGAATAACAAAGTTGGGGGTGCTGGGGAGTGAATACCTATTACCTGCTTCCCAGGGCTGCTGCAGAGTAAAAGGCCCAGTGTGTGAAAGTACGCACTACGGGTAACACCAGCTTGGTGTTAGCTCCCTCTCTCTGAAACTCACCACAGCCCTTGGGAAGTCAGAACAGCAGGAATGCTTCCCCCGTTTTACAGAGGCAGTCGTGAAAGAAATATAGAGGTTCTAAGTCTGGGCTACTTGGGTTCAAATTCCAGCTCTACCTCCAGCTTGTTGTGTGATCTTTGGCTAGTGGCTCCCCTCCTCTGAGCCTTGCTCTCTCGCTGAAATATAGGAGCTATACTGGTACTTAGTCATGCTTCTCCAGGGTCCTGGGGAAGACGATGTGAGAGCAACTCCTGGCATGCCGCAGCTCCCAGTAAATGTTAATTACGCCCGCTAAAGCTGTAGACCCACGCACGAGGGTCCTATGTGATTATCTCGTTCAGTCCATCATCCCTGTGAGGTTAGGTGTTTATAGTAACGTGTTTCCAATAAGGAAACCAAGGCTCAGACAGAAGTCACCTATGCAAGGTCACACAGGGAGTAAGAACCAGGATACTAACCCAGGTCTGCCTGGCTCCATCCAATGGGCCAGACGCTGTGGGTCCCAGGGAGAAATCATCAGGGGAAATCTTCCGGGCCTGCATTACAGGGTGGTGGGGGGTGTCCAAGGTGGGGAGGGGAGCAGAGCTCCTGAGCCAGCCAGGTGAGCAGAGCTGACACCAGCGCCCCTTCCCACTAGATGTGCCACAAGCGCTTCAGCAGCTCCAGCAACCTCAAGACCCACCTGCGGATGCACTCAGGGGCCCGGCCCTTCGGATGCAGTGTCTGCTCAAGTCGCTTCACCCGGCATGTTCACCTGAAGCTGCACCAGCGGCTGCATGCCCGCCGGCCCTGCGGCCTAGCTCACACCCACCTGCCCCTGGCGTCTCTTGCCTGCTTTGCCCGATGGCACCAGGAAGCCCTAGGTCTTGTGGGGGTGTCATCAGAGAGGCAGCTGGGCTGGGATTCGGAAAAGGTCAAGAGGTCCTCGGCATCTGGGGCAAGTAAGGGCAGCCAGCCTGAGCCCTGGTGCCAGGACTGTCCTGGGGAGGGGGCAGGGCAGAGCGATTAAAGGATTTTTCTCTACGGCAAGTCGAGGCCTCCTGAGCTTCAACAGTGGCGGGGGAAGCCACTGTGTATTGGTCAGACTTCGCAATCCACCAGGTCAGGGGACACAGCCACGGAGATTCTGTGATGCTCTCCCCTGGGGTGGGGCAGGCAGCCATCTCCTGCTCCCGGTCTGGGACGAGGCCCTCCAATCTCAGCTTGCCAGTGGGTAGTTCGGCCTTCCAGGACTCTGCACGGTGCAGACTGCTGCCACGCACCGGGCACATTGCTCTTTTTCCTGAACAGATGTTCCAGCACCTGCCCAGATGCATGTCTGCTGCTTCCCACCACCTTCTTGTCTCACAGTTCGTAAGAAGCCACTGTGCCTCCTTAGCTGGTATTCCCTGCCACTGTCAGGGGGCGGGGTGAGCTCCTCCCTCTGCACCTGCTAGGAGCTGAGTCCCCTGTGGGGTGGAGGGACAAGAACACAAGGATGTCGATGTCTACTCATGACCCGGAAGCAAGATATCCCCCTGTGTGCCAGGACCAGCCACCAAAGAGGGCAAAGGGCTAAGGAGGTGCGAGCTCAGGGAAGAGGTAGAGGCTCTACAAGGAGTATAAGGAGGGAAGAACTGGCAAAGAGAGCCTGAGGAGCTAGGACCCTCCTGATGACCTTTCTCTCTGCAGTCCCAGAGGATGCCCTCAGATGTGCAAGGTCTTCTGCCCCCCACTTGGGAGTTAGCAACAGGTGGGGAAAGGGCACTGCCTGAGAAGCAAGATTATTAATCACAATAAACAGTAGCTATTATTGGGGTGCCTGGGTGACTCAGTGGCTAAGAATCCACCGACTCTTGATTTGGACTCAGGTCATGATCTCACGATTTGTGAGATCCAGTACAGAGCCTGCTTGGGATTCTCTCCCCCTCTCCCCCTGTGCCCCCCACACACACACACACACTCATGTGAGGGCGCTCTCTCTCTCTCTCTCTCAAAATAAATAAAGTATAAGAAAATACCAATAGCTATTATTAAACAGTAATATGGGAATGCAAACTGGTGCAGCCACTCTGGAAAACAATATGGAGGTTCCTCAAAAAATTAAAAATAGAACTTCCTTAGGACCCAGCAATTGCACTACGAGGTATTTACCAAGGGATACAGGTGTGCTGTTTTGAAGGGGCACGTGCACCCCAATGTTTATAGCAGCACTATCGACAATAGCCAAAGTGTGGAAAGAGCCCAGATGTCCATTGGCTGATGAATGGATGAAGAAGATGTGGTTTCTATATACAATGTAGTATTACTCAGCGATGAGAAAGAATGAAATCTTACCATTTGCAACTACGTGGATGGAACTGGAGGGTATCAGGCTAAGCGAAATTAGTCAGAGAAAGACAAATATCATATGACTTCCCTCATATGAGGACTTTAAGATACAAAACAGATGAGCATAAGGGAAGGGAAGCAAAAATAATATAGAAACAGGGAGGGGGACAAAACTTAAGAGACTCTTAAATATGGAGAACAAACAGAGGGCTACTGGAGGGGTTGTGGGAGGGGGGATGGGCTAAATGGGTGAGGGGCATTAAGGAATCTACTCCTGAAATCATTGTTGATCTATATGCTAACTAACTTGGATATAAATCAAGAAAATAAATTAAATAAACTAAAAAAACCCCAGTAATAACTGGCCAACTTCCAGCAGGGGGCCTCCATTCGCACCCCTGTGGGTTTGAGAGCGGCTTCCCCACCAGGGACCGGGCAAGATTCACCCTGTGTTGTAGGCTCCCCAGGAGCGCAAGAGAAAACTCTTATGGGGAGCCCCTCTTGTCAGGGCAATGGCGGGGTGGGCTTTGGCCTTCCCCGCAGTAATCAAGGTCCGAGTTTAAGCCCACCTCGTCACCTCTTTGGCTCTGCGCCAGATGCCAACCCCTCGGGCTAGGCCCCACCCACTCCGCAAGACCAAGCCCACACCGGTCTTGATCCCGCCCCTGCGTTCTAGCCCCTCCTTCTCGGGGGAGGGGAGAGACCTCTCATTCCTCCCTGCCTCTTGACCCCCGCAGGACCTAGGTTCCTCTTTCCCCGCCCACCTCGTGCAAGGCCAGCATGGGGGCTGCCAGCACCCGGTGTACCCCTGGCGCCTCCCCATGCCTAAAGAAGTAGCGCGGACCTGACTGAGAGCATGGCCTGGGCGGGGGTGGGCGAGGCTCTGGCGGAGCGGCCCGGGTTGGGGGCGGCCCCTGCGGAGCGCACCCGGTGCCCTGCGCCGCGCACCCCGTGCCCTGCGCCAAGGGTAGCATCTGGGTCAGTCCCCCGCCCGTCCCGAGTGCGGGCGGGGCCGCTGTTTGCTCCGGGGGGCGGGCCGGGGAAGGCGTTTCCCTGCAAATAAGCGGATCCGGGTGGCCCCCGTGGCTCCGGAGCGGTCTGGTGTCCCGAAGCCCGGGGCTTTGCCTTTGCCATGGCCGAGCGGCACGGGGGCCTGGGGGCACGCCTGGCCCGCCGCTTGGCAGGGCTAGGGCTCGGGAGGAAGCGCAGGGGGAAGAGGACCCCGGAGGAGGCCAGAGCTCGGGATAGGTGAGGGGGATGGAGGAGGGCCGCAGGGGCTCCCCTTGGCCCTAGGGATGTGTGTGTGCGTGTGTGTGTGTGTGTGTGTGTGTGTGTGTGTGTGTGTGTGCGCGCGCGTGTGTGTGAGTGAGCGCGTAGTGGATGTTCAAATAAGCATGTATGAGTGTCTCGGAGCATAAAAATATACGTGTCAGTGTACTAAGATTTTGGATACGTGAATGTGAAAACGATCTTTATAAAAGTATCTGTGCTCTTTTAAAACTTTAAAACAACTTTTGCAATTCCGTAAACGCGACAGGCGGCCTGCAGACAGTGATTTCCTCTCCTGACACAGTTTAAAGGCAAATGCGGTAGCTCCCCCTGCCCCTGTGGACTTTGATTCTCACATCACAGTCCAGTTTACCTCTGGTCTTCGTTCCCTTTGTCATGAGCAGGACAGGTACCTGAATTGCCTCCAACTGCACTGCATTTCCCTTATGTGCCACAGAAAGGATTTCCCCTGTCGTCCCAGACTGTAATAACAATAAACTTTATTTGCCTTTCATGCCCTACCTGGATTATCTCGTTTAATCCTCACAGCAGCTCTTACGAGGCAGGTATTTCATGTGATTCAGATATAGAAATGGAGGTTCAGAGAGGTGAAGTCACCTGCCCAGTCACACAGCTGGGAAGTGGCCGAGCCTGGTTACAGGCTTAAGTGGCCTGACTCCAGAGCCTACATCCTGAAAGCCCTGGATGTGCTAGAGAGATTTCAGGACTGCAGAGCCAGGGGGCCAGAGCCTCATCCTAACCCTAGGTGCCACTGGGCTTGTCACCTTGAACAAATTGCTTCCTCTCTGAGCCCATTCACTGGTGGCTAATGTCTAAGTGAAAGGGAAAAGGCTCTGGACGGCAAAGCTGAATGGCTGGGAGGGAGGACAGTGAAGAGGATCCCAGCAGCTCACAGTGGAATCTGAAAAGAGCTAGGAATGTGCTCTCAGGCACGGGGGTATTGTGTATCTACGGAGTTATCCAGCAATTTGTTCTGATCTTATCATGACAGAGCTGTCTTTGGCCCCTCTGGGAGGGGTGGGAGCGTGATGGGGGCAGAGTGAGAGGAGGGGTTGTACTGTTCTTCCACACCAAAAAGAGAGGGGAGGGGAGGGCCTAGCCACCCTGAAAGCCTGGAAGCCTGGATGCCCCGGTGGGGGGGGGGGGGGGGGGGGGAGTACCCACACCCTGACACTGCCCTGCCCGCCCCCACTTGGAAGACACACCCTCTCCCATTACCCTGTATGGCAGGAACCTGCCCTATAGGCCCAGGTGGCACTGCCCCTCCCTTTCCCCACTTGAGAGGAGGCAGGGTTGGCATGCAGGTGAGTCAGGGGTTGGGAGGACAGGGGAGGGACTGCACATGCTCGTGGGCCAGAGTGATGATACATCCCATGCATGCACTTGGAGTTGGTTCTCACCAGACATGGGAATAGGACTCCAGCACTAAGGCACAGGCCTCTGATCCCTGCTGATTGCCTGGAGTTGGGCGCAAGGTGCATGGAGGAGGCAGTCAAGGCACTTCCCCGTCTTGCCCCCATTAGTGCTGTGATGTCTAACCAGCTTTTGGAGTGGGACGGTCCTAGTGTCTTAACTCCAAGGGTCACTAGCTGTGTGACTCCAGGCAAGTCACTTCACCTTTCTGGACTTCAGTTTCCTTACTGAAAAACTATGGGCATAATATCCACCTTCTAGGATTATTGTGAGGCTCAAAGAAGATCATATGAGCACCATACCTAAGGCTAAGCCCGGCATGGCATGGGGAGGGCCTCCACAAATGGCAAGCTTTTGAATTATTGAGGTGCTGTCCTGCTTCTATATTCTGACCCTGCTACAGACCTAGTCCTCATTTTTGCCTCAAGCTTATCCTTGTCTCTTTCTCTCTCTTTGGGAGTACACAGCTGGGGGAGGAAGCAGAGAGGAGGCTGCTGCATAGACCTTGCCCCACTCGCAAGGTTTCAGGAGCTCAGCCTGCCTGTGTGCCCTGAGAGAAGTGGGGAAGGACCCCAAGTTCCAGTCTAGGGGTGGGAGAGGAGGAAGCTACTTCACTCCCTTCCCTTTGCTTCCTTCCTAGGCCCTGGGGTGGCCAGAGCTGCCCTGACCTGGCCCAGGGTCTGGGCAGCACCAACAATGTCAGCCTCAAGGTAAGAAAGAATCCGAAGGGGTGGGAGAGGAGGAGGGCCAGAAGCTTGGGGAGGAGCTGGGCAGGCCCTGAGAACCCCGAGTTCTCTCATCCTCCCTCTGCCACTGATTCACTGTGTGACCCTGAGTAGATGTCCCCCCTCCCCCACCTCTGAACTTCAGTTTCCCTATCTGCAAAATGGGGACAATAATGCAGCTCAGAGGTGTTGTGAGAAAGAAAGTAAACATGTAAAACATCCAGCATGAGGCACTAGCTGTTCTGGAAGCATAAGCTTCGTAATGCTCAGACCCTCTGGGGAGGTGCTGAGGGCCAGTGCCTATTCCCAGGACCCCCTTCTCCACCCTCCCTCCTCTAGCTTGACCTTGTCTCATCTTTGGCCCCCGCCTTCCTGGCATGGCTCCCCAGGGGGTAAAGCTGGGCCAGTGGTTTAACCCTCTGGCCACAGTATCCCCGTCTTCAGTGGGGACCCGAGCCATGGCTTGAACAGTGACGGGGTGTCCTCCCTTTAGAGAAGCAAATAGCCTTCTCTGGAAGTGGCTCAAGCAGCCATGTGTCTGTGGTCCTGAATGCCATTAGTAATAACTAGCATTTAATTGAGTACTCATTATGTGCCGGTTACCCTGCACGGCTTATCTCCTACAGTCTTCACAGCACTCCCAGGAAGCAGGTACTGTTATTATCACACCCATTTTACACACGGGGACACTGAGAGTGTGCCAGGAAGTACCAGAGCTGGGATCTGAGCCCGGGTTGCCTCGCTGCAGGCCCCTACATTAACCACTGTACCCTCTTGAGGTGTTTAGCCCCTGAGGAAAGAGAGACTGAATCTATTTCATAGATGAGTAAATTGACGTATTTGGGATCAAGGGCCGCTGCTAGGAGGAATTTTGACCCCAGACGTGGCTCCTCTGTTGCCAAGGACACAAGCCTGTCCCTGAAAATTGGTGGTTTGGGGAGCAGTGTCCATATGGATCTGGGATCCCTGGCCCTGTCTTCTCATTCCCACGGCCCAGCTGGGCCCCAGAGGAAGACAGCAGATGGAGGTTAGGTTTGCCCCACTTTCGGGGGAACCCCCTTCCCTGGCTCCCCCACGGCTCAGGTGCACCTCTGCGCCCAGTGTGTTTGGAAATCTCAGGCTGTGAGGGTACTGGGGAGGGGGCTGCGAGCTGTCTGGAAGCCCGAAGCAGGCAGAGGCCACAGGCACTTGTAGCACGCATGCCCATGCAGCCCCTAATCCCCAGAGCAGCTGGTGCCACGGGGCCAGAGGCCTGTGGATGCCTGGGAAGGCAGCAGTCGGCCTGAGAGTTAGGCCCTCACTGAGTGACTTTAGTCAAGTCAGTGTCCTCTCTGGGCCTCACTTTCCTCATATGTAGAATGGGAGGGGGTGAGTTAAATGCCGTGGGCCTTCCCAGAGCTCTGCCCTTTTGTCTAGTTCTCACGGGCCTTACGGCACCTCTGCTCAGCTTCTCCTGTGCCAAGGAGGGCAGTCAAGGGTGTTCAGAGGCACTTGGGGGGACAGGAGAAAGTGCTGTTGCCAGACCCCTGTCTCTGCTTTCCCCCAGGCCCAATCCCAGAGCTGCTCAGAATGGGACCTTCGGGCAGGGAGCCGTGGTTCCTGGCTTTGGAAGAGACGACACAGCTCAGGGGGACCCAGTCAACCCCTGGGGCGCCTATGGAGGCCAGCTGTGGGCAGTGCTTCTGACCTGGCCAACTGTGCCTCCGTGGGACCGGAGAGCCTGGCGCTGGCAGCAGAGACTGCTAGAGACTTGGCCCTCGTGCCCGCTGCTGCTCCTGGGTGTTTGGAACAAGGAACCTCAGGCTGCGCTTGCCTGCAACCCCCCTACACTGCTCCAGACGTTCCTCTGAGGCCTGAGCCACACGGCCGCCTGGAAGACCTGTTGCCCCGCCCAGCATCCTTCCCCACGGCCCAGGGGGCAAAGGGCGAGCCTGTGCCAGCAGGGCCGGCGCTGCCAGATCCAGCCCAGACCCTGCCCTGGAGTCCCTCTGCCAGGAGGACCCGCTACCACATCACTATCACCCTACAGGGCCATGGGCAGGCACCTGGGGAGGAGCACGAGGAGCCTAAACCGGCCCAACCAGCTCTCCACCCCTGCGGCCCTGAGGAATCCAGGGGCTGGCGGGAGCCTCCCCAGGGGCCCCGCCCCATCACGGGGTGCCTGACAGACCTGCCCCAGGAACCCCGGCCGAGAGCCCCACTGCATCGGGAGATCACAGCCCAGCAGCAGGAGCTCCGGGCCCACTGGACACCTAGATCCCCACACAGACGGTGAGTAGAGGTCAGTCCCCACATGGGGCGACAACAGGAGGGGAAACCGGCCTGGCTGTCCCGCTCTCGGGTCTCTGGTCTCTGGGCTTTTCCAATTCAAGGCTCATTCATTCAGCTCCCTGAGCATGAGCTGACTGTACCATCTCCTCCCGACCCCAGCTCTGCCCTCCTCTCCCTCCCCTCACCCACAGGCTGCCTCCAGAAACGACTGCCGCTCTCCTCCTCTGTCCACCTGAGGAGGGAGATAGCCTGTCATAGAAGAGATGGGGGAGGGTCACCTTCTCAGCAACACCCACCACTCACTCCCTGGTGCTGTTCAGGAGACCTCAGACCCAGCCTGCGAATGGGCACCCAGCCTAAGCGCTGGGTGTCCGGGGGCAAGCTGCTTAACCTCTCTGGGTCTTGAGTTGTTGAGTAGATTTGGTAGCTGGAGGTGAGGAAGGAGGAGGTGGACACAGGACATGCTTTGAACTCCAGGAGTTGGTCTGTCCAAATAGTAGGGATGCTTGTTACTAACGCCTCGGTCGCAGCATAATTACCCTACCTGGCTCTGGGGTGGCTACCATAGGAACAACACAAGGCTCCCAAGCCTTCGTTTTTATTTGTATTGAAATGACTCTCCTAAATCTGCCTGGTAGGCCCAGAGCTAGAAGGGTGGGTCCCCTCAAACTCACTGAGGAGGGGGTAACATCTCTAGGGCCGCCAGGCCTCAAACCGGGCTCTGAAAAGTTCCTAGTGATGATGGTGGTGGCTATTATTTGTGGCTTGTTTTCTAAGCATAATTCGTTTCAGTCCTCACATAGCCCCATGAAGTAGGACTAAAGTTGCTCACCGCCCCCATTACAATAGGGACACTAAGGCTCAGAGAGGTTACATCACTTGCCCAAAGTCAACTAGAAAGCAAAGGGGTCAGATATTTGAACCTGGATGCCTGTGCTCTAACCACTGCTTTATCCTGCCTCTCCCGGAGGCTTCGCTGGTCCTGTGCAGACAGCAGAGGGTCGAATGCGGTTGCCGTAGAGGGTTTACAGGGACCTCGCGGAGGTGGATTTGGCAGCAGCAGGAATGCCCAGACCCCTGGGCAGGAGTTGGGGTCCCTCGTCCTGTGGCAAGGAAGAGGGAGAGGTGGACCCGGGCTTGCTCAGAGACCTGCTCCGGTGCCCCAGCTGGCAGAGAAGGGCTGCAGAGAGAGGAAAGGTAGGCAGCAGAGGCAGACCTCGGAGAGGAGAAGGAAGAAGCAGTAGGTTCAGCTGAGGGGACCTGGGCTCTATCTGCCACTCCCTGGCTATTTGGGGACTCGGTAGCTAATGACAGACTCTAACCAGAGGCTAAGGCTCAGGTGCAGAAGCAGGAAGCAGACCTCCAGGGATAGCCTCCTTCTAGGTCCCCTTCCTGGGGAAGCATATCTGGGCCAGGATTGGCAGATATTGGGACGGGGGGAGGCGCGACACAGTTGGGGCTGTAAGTGGGAATGTGTAAGATACGTGTGCGTCCATGTGTGTGTCCGTGTTCAAGTGCAGGCAAATTTCACGAGGAGGAGGAGGGGGACGGCTGTGAGTGGCCTGTGTGTCTTGTGAACAGGCACGTGTGTCATTGTGTCTGTGCGTTTCCGTGCGTGTGTGACCTGCATGTCCACTGTGTCTCTGAGTGTCTGTAACTCTGACTCTGTGTCTGACCGTGTGGGTCCGTGTAAGCGTCCCGGTCTGTCTTTGTGCCTGGGTGACTCGGTGGGTCCGTGCTAGTGACTGTGTGTCAGTGTGTGCCTGTGTGACGCAGCGTGTGTTTGTGGGCCTGTGGGCCTGTGGACTGGTTTGGCCTAGTTTGGGGGTGACTCACAGGTAAGCGGGGAGAATCCAGGACTTGTTGGGTTAGACGAGGCTCTTTCCCACACTCCCCCCACCCCCTCCTCAGCCTCTCCCTTTTCCTGCCCCACACACCTCGCTTGGAGGTCACAGTCACCCTGCCAACAGGTCCATGTTGGTCTGGGCCCCTGAAAAAGAGATGGCTGTGGGAATGAGGACTTCTGCTAGCCTAGAAAGGGCATCCTGGGTCATCGGGGGGTGTCTTCAGAGCAAGGATGAAAGGGGGAAGCTATGGGCAGGCAGATTTCCAGCAGAGTTTGAAGAACACCTTAGCAGTCATGACTGTCCAGGGATGGGACAGGTCAACTGTCAGATGGTGACCTCTGTATCCTAGAAATGTGCAGGCAGAAGGCGATGAGCACATGTTTATGGAATGAGTGACTGGCAGGGGTGTTGCTCACGGGCTGGGCTGGCTTGAGAAAGGCGTGGAATCCTACTTGCTGGCAGGTCATTTACAGTATTTGATCTGATGACCAGTGGCTTCCTTTGAAGCTCTTCTTCAGTTGCTTTGCCAAAACCAATGGGGCCTTCCAAATGTGGTTCCTGTTTTTAAATCGAATTCTTTGATCCCTGGACTCCTAGGATACCACTTCTGGGTACAACAAAGCAGGGCCTAGCACATCACCTAAAACTGTTAGCATTGGATGAATGAATGAATCAATCAATCAATCAATCGATCGATCAATGACTTAAAACCCAGGCTCTGCCACTTACTATCAATGCCCTCGGGGGTAGGGAATCTCACTGAAATCGTACTTACTATTTTTTCAGAAATTAAGAGGAGACTCAGTGGGGGGCTCAGCGAAAAGGTGAGCTCCTTGTCAGGAGTCCCAGCAAGCAGACAGGGTTCTGATGGAAGAAAAGGGACCCCTTAGTGAGGACAGGAGGAGGCCAGGGCCTCAGCCAAGGGCTGTGATCTAGGGCCTCAGGCGTCTGGTTATGTCCTGCTCTCAGGAATTCTGGTCTGAGGAAAGGATTGGGGATTCATGTCAGCCCCCTACCTTTCCCATTCACAAGGCTGTTCCAGGGCACTCATAGCTTCCATGGTTCTGGAGTCAAGCAGGCTTCCCTGGGCCTCAACCCCTTTCATCTCTGCTCCTCATAAAACCTGAGTCACTGTGAGGGCCACAGAGCAGGATCAAAGTTCTGGGTTCCACCAGGCTCTCAGGAGGGAAGAAGATAGAAATGGGGGAGGGAAGTTGGGGGCATAGGTGCATTTCTGGCCTTAGCTTCTCTTATAATGGCCCCCAGGGGCTGCCTCATGGATAGGAGGAGTGGCCTTAAAGACAGGCTGGCCCTGAGGCTAAGGATGAAAGGCCTGACCTCTTGGGTCCTTGAGATCTGACAATAAGACTGTCTAGGTCAGTGCAGCTTGGAAGTTGGGGTGGGAGCCGGGTGGTCCCTCAAGGACTACTGTGGTTCCCTTTAAAAGTAAATCTCCAGGGGCGCCTGGGTGGCTCAGTCGGTTGAGCGTTGAGTGTCGAACTTCTTCAGCTCAGGTCATGATCTCGCGGTCTGTGAATTCGAGCCCACGGGCTCTGTGCTGACAGCTCAGGGCCTGGAGCCTGCTTCGGATTCTGTGTTTCCCTCTCTCTCTGCCCCTTTCCCATTCATGCTATCTCTCTGTCTGTCTCTCAAAAATGAATAAATGTTTAAAAAATTTAATAAAACAAAAAAAAAGTAAACCTCCAAACCAGGGTCTCCGTTCACCAGATAATTACATTAAGGAGTTTGGTTTGGTGGTTAAGCATATAGAGTTGGGGTTCAGTCTTGCCTCTGCCGCTGTGTGATTCTGGGCAAGTTTCTTTTCTTTTTTTCTTTTTGAGAAAGACAGAGAGAGTGCAAGCAGGGGAGGGGCAGAGAGAGAGGGAGAATCTCAAGCAGGTTCTGCGCTGACAGCGCAGAGTCTGGGCGAGTTTCTTAACCTCCCTGAGCCTTTTTTTTTTGTCCTCTTCTGCAAAATGGGAATGTTTGTTTATAAGTTATTCTTTGAGGCATCAAATGCATGAGATTCTTTTGAAGATTCAGTAGGACAATGAACATAAAGCAGCTAGCAAGCCTGGCCCAGAGTAAGCCCTCAACACATGGCTGTTATTATTACTATTACCATTCTTTTTAATGTTTATTTATTTTTGAGAGAGAGAGAGACAGAGCAGGAGAGGAGATGGGAGGAGATAGCAGAGAGAGAGGGAGACAGAATCCGAAGCAGGCTCCAGGCTCTGAGCTGTCACCACAGAGCCCCAACACGGGGCTCGAACCCACGAATCGTGAGATCATGACCTGAGCCGAAGTCGGATGCTTAACCACCTGAGCCACCCAGGTGCCCCTATTATTACTATTCCTATTAAACCACAGAGATTCACCTGAGAGTTTCTAGAGAACAGAGGTCTTCGTCTTAGGCAGTTGGTATTATGACCCCCTATCCAGTAAAGGAGGTAATGGAGACCCAGAGAGATCGAGGGAGTGTCAGAAAACAAAGTAAGACCCAGGCCCCGGCTCTCAAGATCGGAATTTGAGATGTGTCTACTGAAGAGGCTCACAGGAATAGCGGGATATGCTCAGAGCCTTGGCCTAGGGGACAGGAGGAAGCTGTCTGGACACGGACTCAGATGTGATTTCTTTTAAAAAAAAGATTTTTTTTTAACGTTTATTTATTTTTGAGACAGAGAGAGACAGAGCATGAACGGGGGAGGGTCAGAGAGAGGGAGACACAGAATCCGAAACAGGCTCCAGGCTCTGAGCTGTCAGCACAG